ACTCTTAACCACCATGCCACCTGCCAGCTCCCCCCCCCTCCGCCCCATGTGAGTTTTAATCTGTCAGGTCCAGGACTCGAACTGCAGTCGACTACAAGGGAGTCCAGTGACATAGCCATTATGCCATCTGCTAGTCCCCTGAGTCTTGCAAAACACAGATTCTTCTGGAAAGATTAAGGCTATCAGACATTCATAATTTAGAGTAAATCACTTTAACTGAATTACTACAAACTAAGAAAAAAAAGTGTTATTTGTGGGACTGGCAGATGGCATAATGATTATGTTGCTGGGCTCCCATGTAGTCGACCACAGTTTGAGTTCTGGACTTGGTAGCTTAAAATGCACATCGGGTGCATGTATATGAGTATCCAAAATCCTAAGAGAAGAATGGAAGAGAAGGAATTGTAGCATGGCCATTCCCTCCAGGGAGTGATTTCTCACTCTCTATCTCTCTGACTCTCCAGCAAGTGCACACGCCCTATAGCAAAAACAAAACAAAACAAAACAAAAACAAACAAACAAACAAAAAAACCAAAAACCAAAAAACAAAAAGAAGTGTTATTTGAAGGGGAAAGAATGGAGAGTGAGTGAGAACGGTGCGATGGGGAGGTGCAGACTAGGTGAAGAGTCCCAGCTGGCGTGTTAGAGACCAGTGGGGCAGTGTGACTACTGGATATTGCCATCATGCATTTTCTCCTTGTGGCAGGGAGTGTGTGACTATTCCCCTTGGAGGCCGATCTGTCTACTATCTGTGACATCAAGTGGGTATCAGTTGGCGTTCAGGATCTGTCAGATTCCGTTTTTGTTGCTGTAAAATTTACCTGGTTAGAGTTCTTGAATCAAAGCATGAACATGAATATGCGTATCTTAGGATACTGCAATGTGCTCAGCAGAGTTGCCTTAGTGTTCATTAGACTCATCAGTTCGGCTCGTTATATTTAGGCCTTGCTCACTGCACAAAGGTGAGACAAATTTTCCCTCAGCAGAGATTTTGGCGATGGTTCTCTTATGCTTAGTACTGAGTGCATGTCTACTCTGGGTCTCTTGACCACTTGTGTTTCCTTTGTTCATGTTTCAAGGGCTTGTGGACTTCCTTGGAAGTTACCTCAGTGCTTCATGATGTGGCGCTAGTAAGTTCTATGAAGCTCACTTTCTGATTCCTGACATTTCTTTTGCTTTCTGAATACTTAGCACCACATTTTCTGTTCTCTTTGATTTTACTATCTCCTTTTTTCCCCCCACTATTTACCTATTTTTTAAAATTTTTATTTCATGTGTGAAGTATATGGAAGGAGAAAATATTATCTTCCAGGAAGTTTTGCTATTGAAGAGGAAATATTCGATATTTCCTGGTCTCTTTAAGGTTCTCGATGTTACTCTTCTTTTTCTTTTTTTTGGAGAGGTTTTCGCTATAGGGCGTGTGCGCTCACCAGACAGAGAGAGACATAGAGACAGAAAGCGAGAAATCATCCCCCCAGGAGGGATGGTCATGGCGCAATCCCTTCTCCTCCATTCTCCTCTTGGGATCTTGGGCATGCATGCACACGTGCCCGGCGTGAGTTTTAAGCCACCGGGTCTGGGATGCGAACCACGGTCGACTACGTGGGAGTCCAGCGACATAGCCATTACGCCAACTGCTGGTTCCTGATGTTACTCTTCTTTAAAGGAAGCCCCAACTACGGAGAAGGAAGTGATGTCACTCAACTATGATGATGATGTTGGCAAACCCATTAGGTCCTGAGGCATTTCTCCCTTTTACCCTTGATTGCCAACCAATGATTCATTCATTGTTTTAAGGTATTCCTTCATTTGCCAGGAAAGTAATTTTGAATTTTTCTCTCTCTCTCTCTCTTTTTTTTTTTTTGGTAGAGATTTTTGCCTTAGAGCATGTATGCTCACCAAGGAGAGAGAGAGAGAAAGGGAGAGAGAGATAGAGACAGAGAGAGAGGGAAAGTGAGAAATTACCCCCAGGGCAATTGGCCACACCACAATCCCTTCTCCTCCATTCTCTTTCTGGGATCTTGGGCACGCATGCTCACAAGTCTGCAGTGAGTTTCTTTCTTCTTCTTTTATTTTTTAAGAATCATTTTATTTAACCTATTTATTTATTCATTTTAATTTGACCTGAGAGGGACAAAATGAGAGAAAGACAGAGAAAGAGAGAGACAGAGAGACAGAGAGACAGAGAGAGAGAGAGAGAGAGAGAGTGAGAAAGCAGCAAGCCACCAGGTCCAGGACTTGAACCACAGTCAAATATATCTAAGTCCAGTGTCCTTAAGCATCATGCTTCCTGCCAGCCCGCTTCATGAGTTTCAAGCCACCAGGTCCAGGACTTGAACAGTGGTTGGTCATGTGGGAATCTGCGACATAACCACTATGCCATCTGCTGGCCTGTAAATTTCGTTATAATGTTCCCAGAAGCCAAAAGTGTGGGATTCATGTAGGTTTTTGATGCAATTAAAACTTTATCTTGGTTATACATTTAGAAAAGGAGTGTCTGAGTGTTCTGGAAGTCCTATCCTGGATCCCTGGCTGAGCTCACAGAGAGAAACATACAATAAGGAGGATATATCTGATCCTTTGAGTCAAATTGGCCCCAAGACTGCATTTGGCCTGAGTGTGAGTAGCTGTGGCCCCCTGATACTGTGAACTGAGAAGGCGTATGAGAATGAACCTCAGAAAATCTGTGCTTTCTGGAGGGTGGATGGTGGTGCAGCAGAGAAATGCCATATTCTGCCAAGTTGATCCACATGGGGAAGATCTGGGTTCACATCCGGAGATCTCTCTGATTCTGCTAGGCATGTATGTGCCCATGACTGGGGGCAGCAGAGGCAGGGGATGGGTCATCTCATCAAGACCCTGTTGGGGTTACACTATCCCCCCCTGCGTGTCTCTTGTTCATGGAAGGAATAAATAAGTAAAGTTAAAAATAAAGAAAAACAGAAAATGGAGAAAATCTGTGTTTTCTTGGGATATAATCTAATGTGCCCATTTACATATATATAGTAAACTCCTTTTTATTATCTCTTAAATAGGTTTGCAAGCATTTTGCAAGTGCAAATTCCCAGCTCCTATTATATCTGTGCATTATTTTCCTCATTTATGGCTGGGCGAACAGAAGCATAAAGAGATCCGATAACCTGCCTGAGATTACCAAGGAGGTGAAACAGGCAGAACTAATAGTCTACTTATTCCTGACTGCACCCCTTTACCAACCAGTCAGCCTCATACACTGTTCTCAGACAGCTGCCATTCATAGCTCTTTGGGAAAAGGAGGGAATCAAGTTTAAATGAAGAAAAAGGAAATTATTTCAGTCCAGGATTCTCTTACTCCAAACCTGTGCCATTGGGCTAGCAGCACTCTCAAGATTTCACAGAATCACAATTAAACTAATGGAAAAGTGAACGTTCAACACACGAATGCGAATGCCTATGTGGGGAGAGCACAGGCGACTCAAGCGAGGACACATCTATTTCAAGCACACGAGCTACAATGGCTGCTCTTTGTTTCTTTCTGTCCACTCAGGGATTAAATTGAGTTCAAGCAGCCTGGAACAGCTTGATGGCTCCTCCTTCAGCCATGAGAGGTGCCAGGTGTCCTGTGTCTGGAATCCGATGCCCTATCTGAGAGGCTAGCGATTTGTGAGCGGTAGCCCCACATGAGCTCTTGGCTCTTTTGAGGCCCTCCTGCAGACTGACTTATGTTAGAGTTGGCAGTGATGCTGGAAGTGGAGCAGAATCACCTAGAGGTAAGAGCATGTCCTTTGGAGACCCCTGGTCTTAGGTTCAAATTCTGCCACTTAGGGACAGTGTGATTGGGAGCTTCCTCAGCATGTCTTTTCAGATGACAAACAACATATGATAGGTGGGTGATGATAATGATAGCAATAATAATAGTGATGATTAATTTATTATTATTATTATTATTTTTTGCTAGAGGGCTTATGCACTTACCAGAGAGAGAGAGAGAGAAAGAGAGACAGAGGCAGAGACAGGAAAAGTGAGAAAGCACTCCTCAGAGGGGCTGGCCACATTACAATCCTTTCTCTTCCGTTCTGTTCTTGGCATTTGGGGCACACAACCTCCCATCCACCTGGCGCATTTTTCAAGCCTACAGATCTGGAACTATGGGATCCAGCCACCTTAACCACCATGCCACCAACTGGTTCAATAATACTAATTTTTAGAGCAGCTACCATTAAATGAATGCTTATTATGCGAAGTGATCTAACCAATTGCTGTGCTAAGTGATGTCAATAATTTTTGAAACACCTCTAGTAGATAGGTACTACCAATAAAGGTACACTTAGTCACTGTGGGTTGCTTTATTCCTAACTGAGCGTTTACTGAGTGCTGGCTGTATGCAGACATTGTACCAGGCACTGGTGATTCAACGTCAGGCAAGTTGTGATTCCTTCTCCTAAGTTTTTATGTTCCTGGTGAGTTGAAGGAAGACTACAAGGGGAAAATACAGTATGATAAGGGCTAGCCCAGGGTATAATGGGAGCAAAAGGAGAGGAGAATATGAAACAGACTGGAAATCAGGAAGGTTGAATCCTCAAGGCTGTGTGGCCAGAGAGGTCACCTAAGTGCTGGAGGTCATGGGCTGCTGAGTTCAAGTTCAAGTTCTCCTATTTCCTGGAAAGGCATTGTCACTAAGAGAAGGCTCTGGGGAGCTTCTTCTCTAGGAAAGGACTACTTTGAAACAAAAACAAAACATACTTTATTGTGACGATTCAAATTCACAAAAACAGGGAAAATAGAATAAAAGTCCCTATATGCCTATTTTTCAAAATCTGTAAAAGACATTCTCAGTGGTGGTGGGGATTCTGTGGTAGACTCTACAGTGATTCCAAAGGCAATTCCCATGTTCATTTTCCCTAGTCCATAAACTGGATCCTCTCCCTTTCCTTCGTTGTGAAGGCACCATTGGTTCTAAGAGGGGAGTGAGCTATGGGGCCTGTGTTCCAGCTTCATCATTGCTGGGGTGAAATTGCCCCACATGTAGGCTGAAGTAGCGGCTTCTTTTTAAACTAAAGACAACATTATTATTGCTATAATCAGATTTGTATTCTACATTTGTGGCATTTTCCCTCCCTCTGTACATCAGCCCTAATGCTGGTCTGGTGAACAATGACTCAATCATCCTGTGGCCTGTGTAGTAGGGGCGTCTTTAACAAATAGACTAGACACAATGGGCATCTTAGTTAAGATGCTGGACCTCATCAGGTAACTGTTGTCACCACGTCTATTGCTTGGCACTCATCTGGTGAATGGTAGACCTGATTGTGAAAATAGATTTGAACTTGGTCTTTTTTTTTCTCCATTGGTCCCAGTTCCTAGAAAAAAGTCTGGGTCAGGCAGCGTGCTCCTCTGAGTGGCAATTTTGAAGGTAAGGGGAAAAAAAAAATGAGTGCTTAGACTACTAACCTGTGGAATTTAATTCCTGTTGCATATTTTTGGATTACAAAAGAATTGATTGAGCTTATGGAATGAGAATAAGTCATTTCTGGAAGGAAAAACCTTTTTAGCATTCAGTAAAAAGACTGATGGAGGCTTACCAAAGTTAGAATAGCACTGCTTTTGTCGAAAAGGAAGTGATTAGGTACAGGAGAAAGCATTTTGGATTGTTGGACAGGAGTCTTAAGTTCAAATCCCAGGCTCTGCTTTGATGAGCCATGGGGTGTTTGGCGAAGTACCTCTGTGTCTCAATTTCCTCACCTGCAGAATGCAAGATAAAATGCAAGGTCCTGTTATTTGATGATTTTGAGGGGGCCGAATACAATGGAGTGGCTATAAGCAGGCCCTTGTAGAGTCAGATAAAACTGAGTTTCAGCACATGTTATCTGCTGTAAACTGTGTGAGCTTGGAAAACCTCTAGGTTCTTCATTTTTATCATCTGTAAAATGGGTCCAATGCATCCTAGACGTATAGAGATAAAGTGTACGATGCTTAGTATAATGCCAGGCACATTTAAACACTCAATGAAAGGATGTTATTGTTATTGCATGTCTTTATCCCCTTTATACCATAGTCTACCTAAACAGTCAGAGATTTGGGAAGAAAAACAAAGCCTTCAGAGTTTTAAAGGAAAATTAAACAAAAAAGGCATCTTCAGCTAGCCATCTTGCACAAGTACTTGACTCTGATGTAGTCCTCGCACACATTGAAAAAAGGATGCAGCATTAGATTTGTGCCAAGTCTATAGCTCATTTCTAATCTCTTTCATTTAAACAACCAACCAGCATCACTGAATGCCTCCCAGATTCTTGATACTCTGCTAGCCTCCAAGGATAAAAGGCAAATGTGACCTCTTTCTTGCTATTAAAGGGCTTACAGCCAGAGGGTGCAAACAGACATAGGTAACGTTGTCACGCTATGTTGTTCATCAGGTCACTCTGTGCTTTGTGGAAATCCTTTCAGATTTGGAACTCAGATGCCTATGCCAGTTTTTTTTTTTTTTTAATTCAATTGTTTTTCAGTTTGCTACAGGGCATGTGAGCTCACCAGAGAGAGACAGAGAGAAAGAGAGAGAGGGAAAGTGAGAGAGCAAGCTACCACTCTGGGACTCGAACCATGGTCAACCATGTGAGAGTTCAGCGCCTTAACCACCAGGCTACCTGTTGGCCTCCCCGTGCCAGTTTTTAAGTTTGCACTAAAATTGTATTTCTCTTTAATGGTATTTGGTTCAGATATATCTCAGTTTTATATTTTAAGTCTGCTCAAAGTCAGATTCTTCTTGTTGAAGTCTGGAATTGTTAGAGAGAGAGATAGAAAGTGAGAAATCATCCCCCAGGGGTGATGACCACGCCGCAATCCCTTCTCCTCTATTCTTCTCTTGGGATCATGGGCACACACGCACATGTGCCCAGCATGAGTTTAAGCCACCGGGTCCGGGACTCAAATCACTTTCCACTAACTGGGAGTTCAGTGACATAGCCATTATGCTAACTGCTGGTCCCTAGACTTTTTCTCTTCCTAAAAAAAACCATTTATTTCAACGTATATTTGAAATAAATGGGAAAATATGCAGATTTTAATATAGTTATTTGAAACAAGCAAACACAATTTAAAAGGGGAGGGGCAGTCCAGTTCTGCTTTAATCAGTAATAAACAGAGCTGTTTGAGACTGAGTACTCACTAGGTACTCGACAATGGTCTAAGCTCTTTGCATGTAATACTTTATTAATCCTCATAACAGCCATGTTCAGTAGATTCTATTATAACCCCTGCTGGACCAGCAAGAAAACCGAAGAGATAGATAGGTCTGTTAGTCAGACAACGAGTAAATAGCTAAATTGGGACTTGCTCTCTGGCAGTGTGATTCTAGAACCAGGCTTGTAAGATACTTGCCATAGTTTTCTATTGTTTTATTAAGTATTGAACTCAAGAAAATTAAATCAGAGCAGGCTGCAAATACAATTCAAACTTTTATTAAATATCAGAATATTGAATCCTTAGATACATCTTACTTCTGGGAAATTATCCAGGTTTGAAGCACATATTTAAGTATTTGCTACAATGATTGCATTGACTTAGAATGGCAAATCAGGTTACATGGTGAGAAGAATTAAATTACTGACATACACTTTGGGGAGGACAACTTTTGATCCTGGAGTGTGAGATCAAATGTTACCTAATAATCAGCAGGCTGTCTCCCTAGCTTGAGTATTTCCTTTGAACGACTGCTCTACAGAGAGACTTACTCTCTAACTTGGAGCTTGCTGAGTTTCGAAAGGGCAATTCACTATGCGTCAGCAAGGTATATACCTACTGTAAATAAATGCTCTTGGCTATGAGTAAATTTACAGTGAGTATCATAATTATTTTCTGTTTCATTTGGAAAACCTAAATTGCTAACTACTCCAATTTCTTTTTTCTTTCTAAAAGTTATTCCAAATATAACTTTTTCAGTGAAAAGAAAAGCTCTTTTTCTGTCTCTCTTACTCTATTTTAATATTTTTAACATTTATTTATTTATTTATATTTATTTATTCCATAAGAGAAAGGACTCCAAAGGAGGAGGCACTGCCCACAGAGTCTCCATGCTTTGATCCTCTGTCAGCACATGTCCTGCATGTACAGGGTGGCCTTGGGTTGCTACCCTAGAGTCTTTTCACGTGAGTGGAGCATTGCAGAGAATTCCTGCTGCATCACGGTTATTTTTTAAAGTCTGCATCTCCTCCGAGAAGCAGCTGCGTCACTTACTCCTTGAACCCATCTTTCTTCTCTGGACTATGTCCTTTCTAACTCTTCAAGGTAGACTTTAAAAGGTCCTAACCACAGATCCACCATACTACAAAATCAGTTCTAGCAGGAAGCAGGTTAGCTTCACCTGGGGAATTAGTTCCCATTCTCAGCCTGGGAGTGCAGGGACATAGCCCCGAATGCCCAACTTGAGTTGGCTCTGGTGTTGGTTCTTTACCACCAGGCCTTCACAGTCATGCCGACCAGCACTCTCCTGCCTGACCCAGTTTTGATCTCTTGCTACTGCGTGCCTTCCTCTGGGCTGAAGCCCCATGTATCCACAAATGCTGAACTGTGTCTGATTTTGCTAGGTCCTGTGAGGATTGTACCTTGAGGCCGTGCTGAACTGAGGGCAGACTGGAGGCTGGGAATACTGGGCTGCATGCCTGGACTGCATCCGGGTGCAGCTACAGGAATGAGTCCTGAAGACAGGAGAGGGGCTCTGAGGCTCACAATTCTAGTAAAGGGGCTGAAGCATTTCCAAACAGGGAAGGAGAAGACA